CCGCCGTTTCCGACATATGTACTGCCTGCAGCAGAAAGAAGAACCCATGCAGAGTTACAAGACGACAGCATTAGACTGGGAGACAGACGGACATGGCTATATTAACTCGGCTGTTGATGCTGATCTTTATATATGTCTACTTTATGGGGTTAGAGCTGTCTCCTTTTAGGCGCTACAAATTTCATTAAAAAATATAAAACCCTCTACAAGTGTATAGGAAAAAAGAAAAGAAAATAGAGCGTAAGAAAAGCGTAGGAAAATTATTGAAAATTCATTCAAATGTCAGGAGCGCAGCGTACAAAACAGACGCAACATGTCGTATGCGTAATATTAAATATTTAAGGCGCTTACATTTTTAATGCCTACCCGTTAGCAATGGGGTTGATTAAGTCGATGCTCAAGCCCAAATTCTCGCAATGGGCGGCAAGTGTGGCAGATGTGTGGAAGATACGAAATGCTGTGCACGCCAATCACGTGAGACACGCAAAATGTTCACACGGAATCGACATAAGAATCGTAATTAATATTGTGCTAGTCGTAGGCGCCTTAGGCTTTATTCGTATCAGATTTCAATTCGCTAACGAACTGTAATTATATTAATTTCAAATCGATGAAGCTGCTTGAACTTGAACTAAAATAGCCTAAACGGAGCAAATCAATTGCTATGGCAACCAGCGAATGGAACATAATTATTTTGACTAGCCCGAATGTGCACACATGTGTGTGAACTTGAACCCGTTTAGTTCAAGTTTAATTTAGCTGAACTTGAAATTTCGAATCAAATCGAATCAATCACACGCTTATTGCACTAATGCAATTGCCCGAAATGGCGCTGCCCTTCGTGGGATATTTGTTGTCTTAAACAGCTTAAGCAGCTTGCGACCAATTAAGTGAAAGGCTATTAGTACATTTTCCGATGTCCAGTTTATAATTAAATTTAAGTTGGCTGCTTAGCTAGACAGACGAAGGAACTATGAGTGTCTCTTATCAATGGCCGAACAGACATTATTTTGTAATGCAGTCATTATTTTTAAGCTTCAATTAACATTCTTGCATATGCTTTTGAGCAGGCAATGCACAAATGCATCGTGGCCTTTAACTTTTGCATTAGAAGCACCTCAAATGTCGCCAGTCTTGCGCATACCTGCAGCAAGAAAACAACAACAGAACAAGACACAATCAACTAAGAACGCTGACGTGGGGGTCGCTCGACTAGGTGATACCCTACGCTCAGCTAACGTTGCAAGCCCTTGAGGAGGGTATCATAAGTTTGTCATGAATAGAAGGAGACAGCTCCGATCCCATAAAGATTAGCATCAACAGCCGAGTTTATATAGCCATGTCCGTCTGTCTCCCAGTCTAATGCTGTCGTCTTGTAACTTTGCATGGGTTCGTCTTTTTGCTGCAGGCAGTACATATGTCGGTAACGGACGGATCGGACAAATATATATAATATATCAAAAACTCATCAACATCGGATCACTATATCACATAGCTGCCATAGGAACAATCAGTCGAAAAGAGGATTCGGATTCTTTTATGGAAAAATATTCTGCCTTCCAAGATATTTTTCTCAGACTCTGCATTTACGAGCTTCACTATTCTCACACATTATTTTCGCAGCAGCAGCGCCTGCTCTTCTTTTTTTACGTTCTCACATGCTTGAATTACTGCCGTGCTTATAGTCCGATCTTTATGAAATTGTCAGGGCTTAGATATGGAATACAAATGTGAGTATCTATCAAAATGCAAGGCTTTTAAGAGCTGGGTTTTTGCCATTTATGGTGAGGCTGGGACGAGGTATCCAGGAGAAATAAACTATTCGTAATATCTAATCATGGTATAATCACATTATTATCATATTATATACAGATACTATACTGCAGCGCTTATAATTTTCGAGTTATGCGCAGAAAACTATGTCGCAAGATTGATATTTATTGAGGTAGCGAAAATAAGCAAAGATCGCGGTAAACAATTTCCAATGGATTCTGGCTATGCAAAACAAAAATGCGGAACTAATCAAATGAACTGGAAAACAGCGAAGTGTTGTCGGCACGTGCGACAAAAGCAGAAAACAGAAAAAAACAAAAAAAAAAAAACAACCACAAGCACAACAAGTGCCCGGCAGCCAACATATTTTGATTGCCTTTCGCCGGTTAACTGGTTATTGTTGGTGGAATGCAATTTAAATCCAATGGGTCCCAACAATGATAAACAACTCGCTGACAAGGTCAATAGCAAGTGCGTGCAACGAGCCGGGGAGCGGCAACATTTCAAATTCCCTCCAATTCCAATTTGTAGCATACAATCTGCATATGCCCAGAGTGCCTCATATACTAATCTATGTGTGCATACTAGCGGCCATTGTCCGGCTTTGCACGGGCCAGCTTACGCCTGAGCCCATTGGATATGGGTTAAAGGGATATCATGTTTTTGTGCAAACGTATGTAACAGGCAGAAGGAAGCATCTCCGACCCCATAAAGTATATATATTCTTGATCAGCACCAATAGCCGAGGCGATCTAGCCATGTTCGTCTGTCTATTTGTCCCTCCATCTGGCAATACGTATTTATGAACACATCGAACCTCAGAACTTATAAGAGATAAAGACGTGAAGCCTAGAACGTAGGTCCTTCTAGTGCCACGCCATACGAGTTTCTTTATCCGATAATCGATAGCTTGCCCCGTTTCCAAGCAATCGATACAAATCGATATCGAAATCCTGTTTTTCGAGCAAGTCTCTTGGGTTCTAAGAGCTAAAGTCACCAAACTTGACATGTAGCTTCTAGAATAGTATATATAGATCGGTAGGAGAAGGCTCAGCGTATACCGTAGTCTGACATTTCGGACTAGAGCAATTGTCCTTTACATTGCTTTAAATTCAAAGCCTCAATACGCATTTCCCACCTGTGGGAATATTTAAGCTTTTGCGTTCGAATTTATATAAGCACACATATCTCTGTGTTCTATGTTTGGAAGGTATCATGCAAGCAGCTCATATAACAACTACTTCTGGAAAAAGATTCCTGACGCATTTAGCAATGTTTTGCAACGTGTTGTGCGGTCGCAGAAATGACAAACAGTGTTTATGCAATAATATCAATTTCCCCAACGTAAATGGCTCACGTTTTTTGGTCTAAAGAATTTATTGACATTGGCTGTAACACATTTTACTGGCTTTAAGGCGTCTTCAGGCCACGCGCTCCGCCTGTGCATTGCCTAGCGAAACAAAGAACAAAAAAATAACCAGAATACAGAACTGACGCAAATACAACGCGGCGTATGCGTAGCCCAAGGCTAGAAAAATTGAGAGCGAGGCAATGCGAACTTTACATACACTGCCAGAAATTGAATTTTTGTTATGATAATAGCCCGGTCATGGATATTGAATAGATTCGATTAAATAAACAAACTTCCTATTTTACTTCGGTACAGTTTTTCTTTTGTTCAGCCGGGAAATATTTAGAAATCTTTGAATGCCTTAACTTTTGCAATATTATCGCCGCATAAAACATTTATAGACAAAAAAATTGCAGTCAAAAATTCAGAACAACATTTATATTAGCAAAGAGTTCAATTGTTGCCCAAAATAAGATATTTATTATATACATATTTAATATTTCTGATGCCAGAATCAACCCGCATAAATTGCAAACACGGTCACATACACATGTTACCCATTTATATGAGGCACATGCAACGTAAAAAAGGAAAGAAAGAAATTCAAACGATTTGCCGCTGAATTTCTATAGATTTTTATAAGGCGCACATACATAAGCCCCCATCCACACCTCCCCCCTAATCTCTCATGACCAAAACCCACTTGTAGCCCATAATCAAAACATCTTTCTGCCCACAATCCCAGCTGCCTTTTTCGCTTTCATATTATGCACGCTGTTGCTGTTGTTGTTGTTGTTTTACTGTGAAGAGGGAAATATGATTACAATGGTTGACACAACACCCGTGCCACGTGAAAAGGAAAAGGTGGGCTGCACGTTGTGTGCGAGCGTGATTCTATACGCATGCATATGTGCACAAATCTATACACATATTGCTTATGCACAAATATAATTATACAAATACATGAATTAGTAATGTTAATTTTCAAATATATATAGGATATGCATAAATAAAAATATATATATATATATATATATATGTGCATATATAAAATTTATAGCTCCAGTATATAACACATATTGAATACTCTTACGGCAAATATTTTAATTTTTCTATCGTTTTAGCGATATTTTTACTATGAACTCCGATTTCCAGATTATTATTTATATAATATATATATACTTATATATATATTCAACTTTGATCGGACTATTATCGATGCTCATAAAATACAAATTGTCTTCTTTCGCATAAAAAATTTGTTAAAGATATAATAAATATAGTTGATTGAATTCCTCTTTGATCAGATTATTATCGATACTTATCGATGCTCATGAAAAACAATTCTTCTGTTAATTTTCGTATGCAAATATGTTAGATATGAGAAATAATAAGCCCAGCTGATTGTTATCGATACCTATCGATGCTCATTTAAAAAAAAAAGTCTTCTTTCGCTTGAAAAGTATGTTAGATACGAGATATAATAAATAGAGTTGATTGAACGCCTCTTTGATCAGATTATTATCGATACTTATCGATGCTTATTAAAAACGATTCTTCTGTCATCTTTCATATGAAAAATGTATTAGATATGGGAGAAATTAAGCCCAGTTGATTATTTTCGATACTTTTTATTTAAAAAAAATGACTTCTTTCGGCTGAAAAATATGTTAGATACAAGATATAATAAATCAGGTTGATTAGACTCCTCTTTAATCGGATTATTATCGATACTTATCGATGCCCATAAAATTCAAATGTATTAGCTATAGGACTAACATATTAAGAAACTATCACAGATTAAATCAGACCTAAGAGTTCAGTTAAGTAAAAACTTTTCTAGTCATCAAGAATCAATCACATTATATTTTCGGCAAAAATGAGAGCATTTGGAGCCTGCAAAGGTAAGCCTTTATTCGGATGAAACGCTTGAATTTTTCATTAAGGCTGTTTGCGCAGTGCTTAATTAATTATAATGGTAATTATACAATTCGTTTTTAAATCGTTGTCGGTTATTTGCCATGTGCTTTTAGTAAATTCAATTATTTGCGGGTCGGCCTCGCGGACGTATCGTATTTATTAAGCAGACCACAAATTCGTTGGTTGGCATTTTAATTAACTTAAAGTGCAAATACCTGGTATTAAGTATTCGAATTCTAATTAAATGACATATTTGGCGAAATATTCTCGAGCTACTCACGTGTCGCTGAAATGAAACAAGATAAAGGAATATTAGATAAATTAAAAAAACACATATATATATATATATATATATATATATATATATATATATATATAAATGTATGTCACTTAAACAATCGAAAACATAGTTTAAAGGAAAAGCTTTAAAGGAAAAGGTCCGTCTTTCTGTTGCAGCCAGTGCATATATCGGAACTAGTCAGATCGGATAACTATATGATTTCCCAAATATTTTTTTATCGAATTCAGCATTAACGAGCTTCACTATTCTCACACATCTGCAAAGGGCAAATGTCTACAAGAGTATTAAATCTTCGACGTATTAAAGATATACTTATATTATCGTTTTTGTAAATTCTCAAGAAAACATTTTCTTTAAATGTACTTCAAAATGATCCCGAACAAAATAGTCTAGTCCAAACAAAATAAACATATACATAGGCCACCTACTATCTGTAAATATCTAAGCTAAGCTACCTTCAAGCTATTGTATACTATATAAAAAAAAAAGGAAACTTATCAAATTTTGGTGAAAAAATAAACTTAACTGAAATGAACTTTTGTTTAAAATCGATATTTATCGAGGCGTTTATGCAAACGCACTGACTGACAGGGCAAATTAATTGAAAAGCATTCAAAGAATGTATAAATATAAATTTGCTTTTAGCAAATTACCTAAAAAAGTAAATGTTATGCATCAAAATATGCAAATGTACCACCGCTAGATGTCGCCACACTAAAAATATATGTGCAATTGAAATATTGTTGTCTGTTAAAGGATAGTTTTGGAATTGGGCATTAAGTTGTCAACGTGCCAAAGTTAGTTACACGCCAATTTCACTTAGAGTTTCATTTTGCCGTGAATGTCTGTGTGTGGGGGTTGCATAGAAAACCCATCTAGCAGCTGCTTGTCAAGATCTGTGAGAAGACTAAAAGTTTAAAATATGCTTTGCTGCAAAGCTTGACGAGAAAATACTTTAGCACACATTTGTATTGGTCTTTGGCGATGCCAATATATGCCTAAAGTTCAAATCAAAACCAGAAAGCGAGCTCTAGTCGGGAGTGCCCGGCTAGATGATGCCCTGATCCTGCTGCTACCAACACAAGTGAAAGTCACTTGATCTGTTTATAATATTCTACAAACTATAGGGTCCGGTATACGGGCGGACATAACTAGATCGACTTGGCGATTGATGCCGATCAAGAATACATATGCCTTATGGATTCGGAGATGATTCTTGCTGCCTGTTACAAATAGGGTATTTATTAAGTGTGTCATGGAATTGTATTCTTAGATAATAAATCATATAAAATGTCTACAGGGCAAACTAAATTTATGATTGGCTCGGTTCAGAGTTCAGAGTAAAAAGCAAAGCCTGGACATAAGGTTCGGTTGTGAGTCTGGCTTTCATATAAAAGATTTCAGATTATTTTTATTGGGATATTGTTTATCAGATATAGTTAACTAATACTTTTCCTATACAGAGAAAATATTGTTGAAGCAATGTAAAAAAAATTTAAAAAAAAATTTGGAAATATTCAAAAAACAGTTTTATTTGAACCCAGGTTTATATATGGTAAATAGTTCAAGTTGTGGCTGTTTTTTCTATATATCCAGTTCCGTTTCGGTTCGATTGAAGCCCGGTTTGCCCGGTCTTGATTTAAAATGCATTAGCGCACAACTTTATAAGGTAAGACAAGCAAAGGAAAATCAAGAAAAATAAAATTGTAGCTTCGGAGAGCTGAAGGCTAAAGCGTGCTCGCTGCGGGCATCGAATATTTTTCCAGTAGCCAGAAATGTGTGAGGCATTTGCAAAGGCCAGTAAGCACACACGCACAGCAGCCACACACACACACACACACACACACACTAACACACATAGCTTAGCACACTTGGTGAAGTCAAAGAAAAGATGCAGCAAAGTATTTGACGCTCTTGGCTTTGTTTGGCAACAATTTCTAAGCGCATATTTACTTCAAATTTTTGTAGCAAGCTACAGTTTTATTATTGTTGTTTTTGTTGCTGCTGCTGCTGCTGCTGTTGTTGCAGTTGATGCAGCAATATTGCAAAATGTTATTTCTTACTTTTGTTTCTGTTGCTGGCATTTATATCAAAGTTTTTGGTTTGGGCATCGGGCTGCATTTTGCATATTTAAAGGTGCCCCACGTTGCATGCATTTCGGCTGGCTGCAACTAAATGCGGCAGTAACCTTTTTGCTTTATATGTCTGTGACGCAAGTATCTGGCCAAGGATAGAGTTTTTAAGCACGATTGCTGCACACTACCTTCAACATTCCATTTTTGATATTGTGTAGCAGCTGGGGCATAGTAAAACCATTTGGATGTCAGGTAAAGTTCACATTTTCGGACAATTTAGTCAAAGGAAGTTTTTCTATGGTATTATATATTATTACAAATATCTGTTTTATATTCTATTTCAAAAGTTTCCCTTTGTTGGGGTTCAAGCTTTGCCTGCAATTAATTTGATTCAATTAATCATAATATTTCACGGGCTTTTCATTTATATTCTCATCGTGGACAATGGGCTAAGCAGATTGAATAGAAGCCTGGAATTAGCATTGACTGAGAATATAGGACACTTAAGAAAGTATATACCGGCAGTAGATATTGCCCGGCTTTGCCAGGCCCAGGTTGTTTCTTCTTTAAATTTAAGACAAAACTTTTTTAGCTTTTCATTTGACTTATAAAATCCTTGAAATCCTTGTTTAATCTTAAGCTTTATGGAGCTTTGAAAGTGATCATAGAGCCGAAAATTCAATTGCACTTTCACTCGCTTTTTCCATTCAAGAGGCGTGAAATTTGCGAAAAGCGTGAAACACGTCTCGGTCAGCAAAAAAGTTTCAGACAACGAATTTCCACCAATTTTCCACAGTTTAGGGTGTAGATGTTCAAAACTCGCCTAAGCGAGCCCCTTCTTAGCCTTATAGCTTGGGCTTTGCGCTGATCTCCCTCCAATCAGTCCAGCTTCTATATATATATATATATATATATATTCCGATACATAATATCGAGCTGACTTGTCATATAATTATCTGTTATTATTTTCATTCATATTTAACCACTCCATTAACATAACATATCCAGCAGGATACCTAATCCTATTTCTCTCTCGCACTTTTATCAATTTAAGTATTTTTAACTTTATTTCGTTTACCAGCACTCGGGGCACTTAACTTGGCCCAATATGCATAAATTTTGTGTAGCTACAATGTTATGCATATTTCATATGTTATCACTGCGACAGTAAGATAAGAGACACACACAAGTACACACTTACACACACACACATGGAGCCGCACGTGTGTGCATATGGAATGCGTTTTTCGGGTCAATTTCAACGTTCCGTTTATTCGTGGTGTAAAACGAGAGCAGACAGCTTTTTGCTTGCTTTCATTTGCAGCTGGGTACAGCCCATTTTGATGGTGATAGCAGTAAAGCGCAATAAAAATGCCACAAGAAATTAAATTTCTTTTAAATTATGATAAATTGCTCAAAGTGAAATGAAGCCCAAATAGGTTAAGATGTATTGAAAAAAAGTGACTGCTGTGACGCTCAAAGATTGAACGGCTGTCAATCTGTGGTCCTGTCAATCATCAAGTCAGTCAATCAATTTAATAATCAATACGTCAATTGGTCATTATTATTTTTTTTTTGTAATCAATTTGTTCGTCACTCAATCAATAAGTCAATCAGTAGTCAATCAATAAGTCAATCAATCAATCAAGTTCATTCAATCAATCAAATTATTAGTCATGTAGTTCATCTATCAATCAGTCAATCAGTAAGTCAGTTACCTAAGATATCAATCAGTTCGTCAATCAGTCTGTCTGTCAGTTTGTCAATCAGTTCGTCAATCATTGTGTCTAGTACTCAGTTTTTTCTTTTGCTTAATCCTTATTAACCGAGTCCATCTTAACTGCCAAAAGCACTATATTATCAAGATGACAGACGCACTGTGTGTCTGCACGCACACTCACAACACACACACACACACACACACACACACACACACACACACACACACACACACACACACACACACACACACAAAAACACACACAGAGTCCAACGCGGCAGCTGCCGCTCAATTAACAGACTTAAAATAAAGTCAGTCGCAAATATTTACAACGGCATCATCTGGAGAATGGTAAATACTTGGCTAGGGTGAATGGAGAATGTGTAACGGATGGACTCGGGTCGGGGCTGGGTAGTAGGCTGGTGAGAATGTAGCTTTCGGCCTGGCAAAAGGATAAAAAGCCAACGTACTTCATTAATTTTAATTAAGCGCCCACAGCATGACAAAAAGTGAACCCCAAAATGTGAGGTAGGCCGTAAAATCCACCTTTTGTACCATCGCCGCCTGCTAAATGGTGACGGGTAACTGGTGACTTGTAACTGGTGACGGGTGACTCTGGCAACTGGTGTCTCTGGTAACATGCTGAAATGTATTTCGCGTCCCGTTTTACACCCAAAGAGATGTGTCGCAAAGAAAGAGGGGCAACAAATAAAACAAAATGCAAGAGAATACCAAAAAAAGCAAATAACAAGCAATGAAAAGGAATAAAATTAAATGAAAATTAATAAAAAAAATAATGAAATACATGGAATATTACTTAAGGAAGATAGTCTACATTATATAAAAAAAAACTAAGATAATAAATAATACAAAAATAAAAATTATGAAATACCTGTTTTTCACAAAAACTATTCTTTAAATTATGTAAAGGAAAAAAAAATAAATTGAATTAAAATATTCATAAAAATTTTTGGAAGCTTATTTAAAATATTATCCAAATTATATAAAAAGCAAGTAAGAGGTTCTAGTCGGGAGCTCCCGACTAGGGGATACCGTGAACCGTCTTCTTCCAACATCAAATGCATATATATATTCTATTTTAGAAGCTATATGTCAAGTTTGGTGACTCTAGCTCTTATTATTTACCAAAATCGCCCAAAAAACAGGAAATCGATACCGATTTTTATCGA